AAAAAAAAAAAAGCCAAGGGAGCAGAAGAGCCTTGGATGGGCCCCTTCCCAGGACAGCAGGGGTAGAAGTGGGAGACGGGAGCATTTGTGACTATTCTATTATTCTGACCTCCCAGGACTGGACCTACAGAGACATCTGGGACTTTCTTCGTCAGCTGTTCGTCCCATACTGTATCCTATACGACCGAGGGTAAGGACATTAGGGGAAGAGAGTGGGTATGGGGGTTTGTTAGGGTGCTGGGATAGGGAGGGCCACTAGGATCGCCCACCCTACCACATGCTTGCCCTCCACCCTCCCTGCTCCAGATACACGTCGCTGGGGAGTCCAGAGAATACCGTGCGGAACTCGGCCCTGAAGTGCCAGAGCCCAGGAGGACGCCTCACCTACCGTCCAGCCTACCTACTGGAGAACGAAGAAGAGGAGCGGAACTCCCGCACCTGACCTCCCACACTAGGAGGGTGGGGAGGAAAATCTCCTAGGGTATAGCCTGGCAATAAACCGTGCCTCTCTCTGTGTCTGTTGCTCTAGCTTGTGTCTTCCTGTTCCAGAGGATGGGAGAAGCAGAAGTGGGTCAAATGCTGCCAGCTCTGACTGGCTGTGCTCACTCTAAGGGGCCCAGGGGCAGGGCAGAACAGGTTGGAAAGAGCTCTCACTGATGGTTCTCAACATCAGCCTCAGCAGGAGCCCACCAGAGGGCAGAAGCAGGAGTTGTGCCAACCACTGGAAAAGGGGCAACCAGGCAGGGCACCACCGGGGCTGGAAGAGGGGAAGCTGCCTTGGCCTAGCTGTGGAGAATGAAAGATGGAGTGGCCAGGGCCTCCCTTATCCACTAACCCCACCCTCCCATCCCTGCCTAGAGAGGCTGACTCAGCCTGTTACCAGGCCTAGAACCTTCCCTTTGCTAGACCCTGGATCCTTTGTCTCTGTAGTCATGAGGCTGAGTGGGGGGCAGGGACAGTGTTGATAAAAGGCACCAAAGGCAGCTCCCACACCCTTCCTCAGAACTGCTGCCCACATGCAGCCCCGGACACAGCCCCTTGCCCAAACCCTACCCTTCTCCCTCCAAGGGGCCCCTCAAGACACTGGGCTGCGGGTGCCTGTCATTAAGATGGGCACAGGGTGGGAGGGCTTCCAGCGGATCCTGAAGGAAGTCGCCTACATCCTCCTCTGCTGCTGGTGTGTCAAGGAACTGCTGGATTAATGGTGGCAGGGAACTGCCTCCTCTCCCCACCAGCACCATGGCTGGCATCGCTCAGGTGGGCTGGGTAAACAGGAGGCAAAGCTGCAGCTTCTGTGGCAGAGCTTGGCTGAGCTTCCCATTCTCTTCTTTAGCCCCCAGCCCAACTGCCATCAAGACTTCTGGGGCCAGCTGTGCTTGACCAAGGATGGGCTGTAAACAATGAGTAAAGAGTGACATGTGGATCCTGCTTTGAGCTATGTCATCTGGCGGACCTGCCTCATCTCTGAGCCTCCCTTCCCAACCCCTGCCTTTGGTGGACCTCTGGTGGGCAGGAGCTTGGACTGCTCTGGCTAGACCCCATTGAGATTGCCACGGGACCTGGCACTCCTCCAAGCTTGGCACAGTGAGCCCACCAGCTCAGATGGTTGATGTTACCATACCCCTATAGTACCAAGAATGGACTGCCCCCCTAAGATATCTGTTTGAGAATCACTGAATTATAAATATAATCCATAGGCCTTGAGGCCCAAGATTCTAAATACCTAAAGGGGAATCAGAAAAAGCCCTAGAAGGGTCTGGGAGCCAGGGTGCAGACTGGGGAGGGAAGGAGCTTGTCTTGAATAGAACCAAGATTGAAAGCCAGGTTTTCTGACTCTGGTCCCTGGGTGGGGAGGGTGGAAGACAGTCCAGGTTCCTTTCAATCCGTGGGTAGGGAGGGGACCCAGCTTCAGTAGGGTCTTCATCTGTGAGGCCAAGGGAGTATGGAAACCCAAAGGACCCAGCCCTTTCCCAAATAGAAGACCTGGTCCAGGCAGCTTCCTGTTTCTGAGGATCTTGAGGAAAGCACTGAGCTGAGAATAGTCCCCAGCTCATCAAGGAAGCAGAACCCCATGAGCTACAAGAGCTCCCAGCTCACATACAAAGAGAAAGGTAGTTGTGTGGCCACACAGGTCCCTTAGGCTTATAACGGCACAGCCCTATCAGGACATAAACAGCTAGATTGAGCAGAATTGGCTCTTCGCTTCCCCTTGGTGGTTATAGCTGGTGTTTTCCCTGAGTGGTAGGTATCTCCCAGTGGTAGATATATGTCAGCCGTGTGTCTCGTCTTGCTCATGGGGTGCTTAGGCTTACTGACGTGCCCACCCACAGCCCCCAAAACCGCAGGGCCAGCCATGGGACTCGTTCAACATTTCCACGGGATCCCCACCCAGCATTCCCTGGCCCCTCTTGGGGCCCAGTTATCATCCCCCACCCCTCTGTCACCTGGGGCACTGGCCTGGAGATGGTTGACAGGGCCCTCTTCCTCCCTTCCTGGGACCAGCTCTTACTCAGCCTTCTTCATAGTTAACTCTTTTTTTTTTTTTTTCTAGGTTCTTTTTGTAAAGGTGGTATATGCCTAGAGTAAAGAACTCTAGGCTGGGCGTGGTGGCTCATGCCTGTAATCCCAACACTGGGAGGCAGAGGCGGGAAGATCACAGGAGGTCAGGTGTTCTAGACCAGCCCGGCCAACATGGTGAAACTCTGTCTCTACTAAAAATACAAAAATTAGCTGGGTTTGGTAGTGAGTGCCTGTCATCCCAGCTACTGGGGAGGCTGAGGCAGGAGAATCACTAGAACCTGGGAGGCAGAGGTTGCAGTGAGCCAAGATCACACTATCACACTCCAGCCTGGGCAACAAGAGTGAAACTCCATCTCAAAAGAAAGAACTCTAATAGTTAAAAGTAAGTCTCAACATCTATCCCCCAATCCCTTAGTGCTCCCCCTGGAGGCAACCATGGTTACCAGTTTCTTAGAGAACGTTCCAGTCTATGCATAGACTGCATCTTTCATTCAACAAATATTGAGTGTATGCTATACGCCAGAGTGGGTCTCTGGATACAGCAGTGACTAAAACAGTGAACAAAGCTTACATTTTAGGGGATAGACAGCTATGTTATTAGCTGATAAGTATCACAGAAAAAAGAAAAAGTCAAAATTGAGCTGGAGGTGGGAGTAGGGGCAGGTCATAGAGGGCCTAAGAATTTGAGCTTTTATGCTGAGTGAAATGAGGAACTACTGCACGATGTTGAGCATGAAATGAGTTTTTTTATTTAAAAAGCTCAAACTGGCTGCTTTGTTGAGAACAGACTTCAGGGGAGCAAAGATAGGGTACGAGGGACCTATTAGGAGGTATTGGAACAATATAGGCCAGACAAGTTGATGGTCTCGGACCCGGTTTATAGCAGTAGCAGTAGTGAGGGGTGGCTGGATTCCGGACATATTACTCTTCCTAGACACAGTTCTGCACCTTGCTTCCTTTCCTTTGATAGACCTTGGACAGCACTCAGGATCCCACATCAGTGCACTGGGAGCCTGTCCATTCTTCTTCACAGTGGCCTAGTCTCTACAGCACTCAGCTGGAGCTTATTTCTTATCCCTGGCAGCTCAGTATGTCTCTCTCTCTCTCTCTTTTTGGTTTTTTTTTTTTTTTTTTTTTTTTTTTTTTTTGAGATAGACTCTCACTCTGTCACCCAGGCTGGAGTACAGTGGTGCAATCTCAGCTCACTGCAACCTCCGTCTCCCAGGTTTAAGCTATTTTCCTGCCTTAGCCTCCCAGGTAGCTGGGATTACGGAGTGTACCACCATGCTCTGCTAATTTTTGTATTTTTAGTAGAGATGAGTTTTCACCATGTTGGCCAGGCTAGTCTCAAACTCCTGATCTCAAGTGATCCGCCCACCTCGGCCTCCCAAAGTACTGGGATTACAGGCGTGGGCCATCGCACAAGGCCTCAGTCCATCTCTTTAGACATCCACAAAATGCAGGTCAATGCTCTTGCGTGATCTGTTCAGAGGCTCTTACCTGGTCCCAGTGATGGGGGTAGTCAGAATTTACCTTGGAATCTGAATCTGGGGCTCCTTCTTTCCCCTTATAGCCTACACCATGCTTGGCCAGCTCCAGTCCTTCCTTCCCTGACTCAGGCCCTGGCCTACTGCCTTCTTTTCCTTTCTTAGGCTTCACTCCCACCAAGCTGGGCATTGTCTGGAGGTGGATCCTGGAGTCTGAGGTCTGGGCCCAAGAGACTTTGCCAGGGGAGGGGAAGTCTGGCAGAGACCACTGGGGAAGTGGTGGGTAGAGGAAGGCGGAGTCCAGGGCTGTGGCCTGTGGTGAGATGGGTGGTGGAGAGCAGGAGGAGGAGTGAGGGGGAGACACTGCCAGTGGCCCAAGGAGAGTGTCAGAGTGGGAAAGAGGGCTTTGACAGCTGAAAAACTGAGGAGAGGAATGAAGAGAAAAACAAAAACCTCAGATATCCTTCAGGGAGCACTTTTCACAATACAGAGTGCTTCGAGCCTCACGAAAGTCCACTTCAGTAATTACCCCTTGTTAACATGAAGGAAATTGGCCCAAAGAGGTGAAATGATTTGCCCAAGGACATACACAGCACACTGTAGTAGTCATTTAGCGCACCCAGATTCGCAGCTTCTCCTAGTGAGCCTGCCTTCCTCTTCTGAGCTGGTGTTTGCATGGAGAAGGTGGCCTAAGTGGCTTGGAGGCAGAGCCGTGCAAGCAAAAGCATGGAGGGTACCACCGCCCCCACTCTGCCCCTGCCCCACGCCACTTCCCACCTCAGCCCTATGCTCCCTGCTCTCCATTTGGAGGTTTCGGCTGTAGCCCTTTCACCTCATCCACACAGGCTGGGAGATCTTTCCTGCCACATGGCTCCCCACTCTATGGCTGTTCCCCCACAAGTATCTCTCCCCATCTAGGGCAACTCAGCTTTTGAGTGTCCAAACTACTCCCTCAGGAACTCAAGTGGAGTGAGGTGGGAGGTAGGTGAAGGAGACAGGGTGCCAAGATATTAGGCTGGTGCAAAAGTAATTGGGGTTTTTGCCATTAAAACCTCACCTACCTCTCGATGCCCCAGTGCCCTCTGATGGCCACAAGAGGTGGGGGAATGGATGGATTAGGAATGGAGACAGGAGGGACCAGCTGAATGTGACCCCGACAGCAAGAGGAGAAGCCTGATATCCAGGATTCCCGGAGGATTACAGGACCCTTCTTGGCATTCGAGAAACAGCTGGAGGAGAGGGGTCACAGCCAAGGGGCCAAGGGGTCTGAGGAGCAGCGGAAAATAGCAACGGATATCATAGCAGTGATCTGGGGTGCGGGGTGTCCCACGTTTTCCCAACAACACCTAGAGGCTGGCATAAAGGGGGGTGTGGCAATCATTTCACTGACAGCGCCAGAGCACAGACCCCCAAGGTCATAGGCTCTTTTTTTTTTTTTTTTTTGAGACTGAGTGCTGGAGCGCAGTGGTGCGATCTAGGCCCACTGCAACCTCCACTTCCCGGGTTCAAGTGATTCTCTTGCCTCAGCCTCCTAAGTAGCTGGGACTACAGGCGCGTGCCATGATGCCTGGCTAATTTCTTGCATTTTTTTTTTTAGTAGAGACAGGGTTTCACCATGTTAGCCAGGATGGTCTCCATCTCCTGACCTCATGATTCACCCGCCTCGGCCTCCCAAAGTGTTGGAATTACAGGCGTTTGCCACAACGCCCGGCCTTCTTTTTTTTTTTTTTTTTTTTTTTTTTTTTTTT